TCTGACTCCGACCCGCTCCTCCGATCGGGGATGCGCCGAACCCCTGCTTACAGCTCCTCTTCGGCTAGCGCAATCAGAGCCGACTGGGACCAACCGATCGGGGACACTCGCTCGGTAAGGACCAGGAAACAGACAGAGAAACTAAGGCAGCGCACTCAAGTCAACCGCAATACCGAGGACCGTACCCTGTACACCTGCAAGACAGTACCCTGCAACCTCCCTAACATAATAGAATCCAAGCAGTGTTGTAGGCGCCAACATTTTCCCCTACAGTGTTGTGGGCGCCATCAACTCCCATACCAGACAAATACGGTAAGGCTCCCCCACGTGCCTCTGAGGCATCGACAGTGTTGTGGGCGCTGGCATTTACCGTGCCAGGCGAATATGGTAAAACCCCCTGCATGCCTCCCGACATCGATAGTATAGCAGGTGCTGACATCTGCCACACCTGAAGAAGACAACGCAACTTACCACGTGCATCTGACATTCAACAGTATTGCGGGCGCCTACCATCATCTCGTACCCGCCGGCGTGGGTAGCAATACTTAGCAGTGAACGCACTCTCTCCCTCTCACTTGTAAGGCCATCCCCTTCATCTATAAAAGGGGATACGCTCTTTTCCAACAGATAAGTTGATTCAGATCAATCAAGTTCACTAGTTCACAACAACAGAACCGCCAGGTTCAAACCACAAGCACATGCTCGAACACATAGCGGATAGCGGAGCTCCCATCACTCTCGGCCCCTCTGACCAGAGTTCGACCGGACCTCTTGTACCCCTATCTTTCTCCTTCTCGTTTGTAACCCCACTGCAAACTTCGAGCATCTGGGCTCAGGAATAAAGTCACCGACCGACTCAAACTGGACGTAGGGCACGTTGCCTAAACTAGTATAAACCCTGTGTCATTGAGTGCTAGGTCACCTCCGATCACAACGTACGGCAAAACTATAAATATTTACGTGTTAGTCACTTTCTACACCGACAGTAACACTGTTTTTTTATAATCTTCTCTAAACCTCCGTGCTCCTTCCAACTTGCACCAGGAAATTTAAGGTTGTGCCCACCCAAATAGCTTATCATACTGATTTTTTTTTTCTGTTGTCTTCATGTATTTTTGTATTTCTTAGTCAATAACTAAGTTCATTTAAGAACTATACTACTTACTGATTTTGGTAGTTATCTACAAAATTGACTCAACAAGGAGATTGATCAGTTGTAGCTCACTCGAAAAGACACTCCAAAAGAAAAGAAGTATCCTTCCTACAGATTAGAAAACCTCATCGGTCTTTTGAATCTCCAGATCAGTGCGACCACCGGGAATAAAGTACCTAGAGCATATCCAATAGTCTTTCTACAAGTGACTCTCTAAATCATCGTTTAGAGAGTTATTTGAGTAAAAATCGTTTTCTATTCCACAGTCTTTGTATATCTTGTGTGCAGTCTACAGAGTCATTTTCGCTTTCTATCTTTGGCTAGCGAGAAATTCGAAATAGAGGATATGTATATTTAGATATCCAATTGAAGAGGCTTTTGGAGGATATTTTTTCATCAAAATCTCTATTCCTGTAAACTAGGAAAGATATAAAGAGTCTCTTGAGATGCTCTTACTATATCAAGGTTTGTTTTTCTATATGAGGTGATTGTAAAATACTTTCTTTTTTAATTTCTTGATATTTACTATATCAAATCTTTTTTATTTATTTACTATATCCAGAAAAATCAGCTATTTTTTCCTTTAACATGAGAAGCTCAAGTCATCCAACAGAAATAATATAACTATGTTATGGTTTTCAAAATGTACTGAAACGACCCAGAAGATGGTGCTATAATGAAATGAGTAAGTTGATGGTGACGTTGGGTTACTCTACAAGCTACAACTGAAGACTAGCATATGCCACTTCAGTGCTCTAACCAGATTTACTTTTAGCATCTGACTCTTCTAGTGACCAAGCAGCCCAAAGATTAAGAAAAGGATGGCCAAAGCACTGAAACGTGAAGACAAGATCATATGGGCCATTCCCAACCCAAGCATAATTTATGGATTTTTATTACTCGCGAAGCAACGCTCGTCTCGATCGTTTCGGACAGGGAAAGAGGATGTAGAAACATGGACTATGAAGGCTGGGGCTGCTAAAGACCAACTTTATGCCTTCCTTTTCTTCAGAAAAAACGAATATCACTTGATCTATTAAAAACAAAACAGCATCCCTAGTCAACTGAAAATGTACTTAACTTTGAAAAGAAATTTTTTGAATAAGTTTGATTGTGCCTCGTGACGAGAAAGCTTTTTCTACTGAGTTTTGGAAAGTTCAAGATAGAACGAAACGGTTGTTTTTTTTTGGTGATTATCTAGGAAGCCTTACTGCTCACTCCAACTTGCAACAGGAAGTTTAAGCTTGTTCCCACCCAGATAATAGTGTATTGTATTGAATTTGAGGCTAGTTATTAACTAGGGCTAAAAAATAACCCAAATTAGTTGGGTTTGACTAACTAGTTGGTTAACAACTAGTTGAAGGTTTGGCTACAAATTTAGTTCACCTATTAGGCCCATGTATAGATGGGGCTAGGACTACAAATTAGAAGGCTAACAATTATCCATATGCCCCTATGCAACCAAAGAGGACTTGCTAGCGCCCGGACGTCCGATCCGGGGCGCTAGCGTCGGACAGTGCTTCCGCGCACACACATAGATCCCTCGCCCCGCACCAATCCCGCTCCGGAGGCCACGTCTATCTGTACGGAACTCCCGCGCCTGGACCCAACGCACACAACTCGCTCGTCCATGCCCACGCATGCGCGGGGACCACTCAACCCGCTCTGCTTCCTTCCCGCGCCCCATGCGCATCGTAGCAAAGAAAGACAGCAAGCGCTGCAGGTGACCCACAATGCACACTAGCGGCGGCGGCAGGCAGTCTAGCCGCTAGCCCGCTCCGCCAGCTACCACCGCCAATGCAACATGTGCTCTTCCGAGATCTACTTTCGAAACATCCAAATAAAAACACTTGCAACATATGTCTAGAACAGATGAAACACTTGAAACGTGCATTTGAAACATGCGTGTATAGCCATAGCAACATGTGCAACACCAGATCTACTTTTTCAACATCCAGATGAAACATTTGCAACATACGTTTGAAACAGATGAAACACTTGAAACATGCGCTTGAAACATGTGTGTATAGCCATTGGAACATGTGAAACACCTGGAACACTTGAAACATAGTCTTCAACATGCGTATTTTGTCATTGTAACATATACAACATTCTAGATCTATTTTTTTCAATATCCAGATAAAACACTTGAAACAAAGGTCCGAAACGTCTGAAACACTTGAAACACAACGTTCGTCGCGCGGCCATGGCCTACCTAGTGGTGAACTACGGTAGATCGGCGAGGAGGACAAGGGGTGGATGGAGGCCGCCCTAACGGAGGCGTTGGAGTGGCAACGGCGAGGTCCAGCCGAGCAAGGGGGGGAGAAGGGTCACGGCCCAGAGGGGCCCCGCGAGGAGCGTCGTCTCCCAAGCCACCCCCGAGGCTGTGGGCTGCTCTAACACCCTCGCCACCACCTACATCATGTACCCCATCGGAGCCGGTCGGTCGGGCTGCGGCGGGGTAGGGGGGACAGACGCGGTAGTGTGTGTGGATGGGGGAGGAGATGATGCCTAGCCAAGCAAGCGAAGATGGAGTCTGGCTCGAAATGGGGAGCCAAGCGTCATGGTAAGGCGGGCGGCGTCGTGGGAGGGCGAGGCGGGGGAAAGGCGGACAATGAATGAGGTTGAGTCTTGAGTCAAGCAGCGATTCGAGAATTAGTGCGGTCACGGCGACGATTCAAGAGGAAAGTGAGCGAAGTATATATATATATATATATATATATATATATATATATATATATATATATATATATATATATATATATATATATATATATATATATATATATATATATATATGGTGCATTTTATATACTCCCGGAAGTAATTACTCTCATAATCAATAAATCACGTTGCGTATATGTACATATTCATTTATCAGTTTGAGTATCTTGACATACTATTATTAAGATACTCCAGATCTTTACTATTTGAATTTTTTTTTTAAAGAGCACATATTTTTTAATATATTATATAATACTATGATAGTAGCATATAAAATAAGTATAACCATATACTCTAAGTATACATACATACTTGTCATACATAGTACCCTAGATGGTCTAGTATGATGATATACTCCATCTACATACACTTCGTCGGGTCATATACACCATAAATATAGAGATATATATATTAGCAACGCTGATTTTTTTTTTTTAGTAACGCGAGTGACCGTGCGATTGATAGTGCTGGGTCGTTCGGGCAAGTGATACCCACCAACATGGGCGTCCGGATGATTGGATGTCTTACCCACAGCATTGCTGGTCCAAATAGGCCTTTAATAAAAAATAGTTGTTTTAGAACTACTCAACAAAAAAAAAACTAATTGATCTACAACTGCTACTTGTTTACCTATAAAATTGACTAAATAATAGTTTAGAATGAGAAATTGAGCTCAAAAAGACCTCTGATAAAAGAATAAAAGAAAGTCACCTTTACAAGTTAGAAAGCTTCGTCGGTCTGTTGAGTCCCAGAATCAGTGCAACCAGCACGAAAGAGTATTTTGCTTATCCAGACGAATCAACCAATCCTACTGGGGACAAGAAGCTTTTATCAGAAGCTTACGAATTTGGCCAATCATTCGCTCGATTCAGTTCTGATGTCTTCAAGTTCTACTTGCTTGAAGACATTAGTGGTGCCAGTACAGTAATCCAGGTATACAACTAATGTGGACCATATCATTCAATATACTTCAAATGCAAGACAATTCAAATCTGAATATCTTCTTTCCTAGTACAGGCTCTACATTTCTTTCAGTCCCAGACAACAAAAGGATCAAAGAGAAAAGCTGCAGAAAATGAGTACCACATTACATAAAACTTTGAAAAGTTCAGCTCCAACAGAATCATAGCTTAACCTCAACATCCACACCGGCAGGGAGCTGGAGTTGCATCAGTGAATCAATTGTTTGGGCAGTTGGATACATGATATCAATCAGCCGCTGATGCGTCCGGATCTCGAAATGGAACCGTGAGTCCTTGTGCACGTGAGGAGAGTTGAGCACACAATAGACTCTCCGCTTAGTGGGCAGAGGAACGGGACCCATGGTCTTTGCGTTGGTTGTTTTGGCAGCTTCAATTATCTTCTTGCAGGAGTCCTCTATCAACGGCACCCAGTAGGACCGCAGCTTGATTCTGATCTTCTGCTTGGGTGCGAGCTGAGAACAGATAACATTCAGAAAAAGAGTTGTTAGTCGTAGAGAGATGAGCAACTTCTGCAGGCAAACTGGACAGTGAAGATATAAAAACATGCAGTTGATTTAGAGCAAGGTCAAATAATATTTAAATATGTTTCCTATAGAAAAAACTTATAAAACTTCGTTTTCCTGTGCAACAGACATGCTTATGTTTTCCCACAAAATGCAGTCAACTAATAGCTGGCAGGAGTCAACACACATTAATGCCATCAAGTTAGTTAAGCTCAATTTGTGAAGGCAAGTGTATGCATTTGCCCTGTATATTATAAAAACCGGGCCAAATATAGTAATATTCTGAAAATATAAATGTTCAATAAAACAGTTCACTAAAATTAATCTACAAAGAATATTGGCAGAAAAAGAATATTGGGGTAAAATAGGGTATGCCATGGCTGCGTTTTTTCCACCCACCCTCATCTAGATTTAATAAATTTCAGTACAATTGCAGCTAATTCAAGATGATGAGATGCATATCTATGATCAGCTCTTTCAATAATATGCAATTCATGGTTGCTTATATACTTATCAAACTCTAGAGCATCCTCTGATGGCACAACATCATCATTAGCACCATGTCTGTCAACACCCTGCAGTTTTGAGTCAATAGACAAGCATGCAGAGTGCATATCTGTCTTAAGACGATCCATCAGACTTTCTTTGGTCACGCGGTAGATGATACGTCCTGTTTTGTCTTCCACATCAATGAAACCATGCTGATTAATCCTTTCCATGTAATCATTTCCAAAATGATCTCCAATTCCACGTTCCAGATTAAACCTTCCAGACAGGTTAATAACTTTAGATATATCGTGATACATGGATGCATAGAGGATAACCACATTTCCTCCCTTACTGTGGCCAGCAACAGCATGGGTGTCACGCTTGTGTTTTTTGAAATGTAGGATCACATCACGTAAATCGTCCACTTCTTTATAGTAGTTGCCATGTTCAAAAGTACCTTCACTTTCTCCATTGCAGAAAAATCAAAACGAAATATGCCGATATTTTCTGATGTCAATGCATCAGCAAGACTTAACAGAGTTCTACTTTCCTTTGATGACCTAAATCCGTGGCACAACACTACAAGGTCCTTAGATCCAGCTTCATGCAAAACACCAACAAGTTTCTCTCCGTATCTGTTTATTATCACTATTTTCTCTTGTGATACATCTAAAGAATCACTATGAGAGGAGCCCAACTGTGCACAAGGCCTTGTAACAATTTCTTTTCCAGCAGTTCCATACAATAACTGCACACAAATATTCATGATGGACATGCTTAACAAGCAGAAACATGAAGCAGCAAAGTAAACATACAATTGCAAGGAGTAACCTCAATGGCAGATTATACAGTGTTAGCTCTTTTCTATTTTGCTACACCCTCCATTCCAAATTGTAAGTCGTTTTGGCTTTTCTAGGTGCGTAGATTTTGCTATGCATCTAGGTATATACTATGTCTTTTTTTTTTGCGATTCGGCATATACTATGTCTAGATACATAGTTTTTATTATGTATCTAGAAAAGCCAGAATAAATTACAATTTGGAACAAAGGGAGTACTTAATAGTCATTTTGGACATGATCTTCAAAACACACCTTTGTCCTTTTTTCTGAATTGACCATTTCCATGTGAGAAAAGTAAATAAGTTTATACAGGTATAAAAGGTTGAGCACATACATTGACAACATCTATTTTAGAATGGAGGAAGCCACTCCAACTCCAACAGTTTAAGGACAGTACCAAGGAGGTTCCAAGTTATACAAGCAAGAGGAATGGCATAACTTGTCGAATTTTAAACACAACCACTAGATATTGCCAACTGTTCAGGGGAACACTTTGGTTACAGCAGTGGGCGCAATTACAGCGAGGTGGCATGTGGCAACAACAAGGAATGCATCCTCCATGTTTGCCGAGCACATGAGATGGCCACTATGTATTTCTTTGCGTCCTTTGTATGACCAAACAATACCAGGCTTGAGTCATGAGTCAGCCACGTTTTATTAATTAATTTTGGTGTAATAATTGGTCTGATTCTCTTGGTCACAAGAGATGAAGCTGGATTTTTTCCTTTATCTGAGAAAAAAGTGAGATATTGCTATACATATGTTTGTCTGTAAAAATATTGTATACAATTGTACGTATATTACACAAAACTCGCATGCTTATGACAGCTTGCACAACTAGGATAGAATATCTATACTTGTATTTAGTACAACTGTAGCAATGGTAGTACATGCATAGACCTTTAATCAACACCTTATAATCAGGTCCCATCAAAACGAATAGTGTATATCCTCCTCCCTTTATCTTGATTCAATGCGAGAGTTCCTATTTTCCCTATTACAAATTAATTAGGGGACTTCAAGGCTTCAAGCACTTAGAGCCTTAGAGCAAAGGAGGTGCCCTGTGTTGTAAGTTGCTCTATTGTTTATATTGAATGAAAGAACAACCATACAGTAGCAGGAAACTGAACCAAAAAACACACGAAAAATGACAGGAATAAAACCTACTACTAGTGGACATGTGGACATCTCTTACTGATTAGACATTGTTTTTTCCACTGCTCTGGATCCCTACTTGTTTAGAGCATTGGCCATTGGACATGTGGATATCTCTTACTGATTAACACTTGGTGCCACCATTTTTCAAGTACACAAAATAATTCCAAGGAGGAACAGAGCATTAATAGGCAGAAAACTTTGAAAGTTTCATCCAGCAAGCTTTCAAGCGCTAAGTTGAATCTGGAAAGGTACACCACCATAGACCCTCAGATATCCTCATTCCAGTTCAATAGGAATGACTTGAAGGACAGACTAAATGATATTTCATGTATAGTTTCTTTAATCGTGTGGGCTGGTAACTATGCATAAGCATTAAGGGTGCTAAACTGTCAACATGACATGGACTTTTACAAAACATACATTTCCGAAGTCCAAATCACACTCACATGAACAATAGTTTACAGTAAGATTAATGGCTTAAACAAATGTGCTAACTGTGATATTGTATGTCATTTTTCTAACACTCCGAACAAAGTTTGAGTCATGGGATTAATTTACTCTACTAATGTAACCATGCCAAGTAGCACCGTTGCATCCTGACCCATCTCTAAATGCCACTTACACAAACACCCAGAGTGTTAGTCGCTGAATTCTCACTCTTGGTAGTAGGAGAATTCTTACTCTCATCGAGAGGATGACACTAGGAGTTGGGGCAATTTTCTTGTCTATTTCTTACTCAAATGCCATGCCAACCTGAGGGGTTGGGGTTATATATTTATAGGCTGCTAGCCAGCCAAGCATATGCCAAGATGCTAGTCTAAGATGCTAGTCTAAGATGCTAATATGCTGTCCTAGCTAAGATGCTGTCCTCTAGTCTAAGATGCTGTCCTGCTGTCCTCTAGTCTAAGATGCTGTCCTAAAAGCAGAAAAACAGCCACAAGGACCATGTGAGCAGTACAGCCCCACAAAGACCACACATGAGACTTATCCATCACAGAGCGCATCGTGCTCTCCATTTATTTTGATTATACAATTACAAATGAAATGCGCAATACTATACAGCAACAAAAGAGAAACAAGTTATATGGTAATAAGTTTTCACAGTTCATTCGATCATGGAAGCAACAATATTAGAAGAAAATATTCAGTAACATAATCTGGGAACTTTTAGCTATTAGGGAAGGTACCTGCTCCCCATCATCCCCAATCGACGATGGCAACGGAATTCCCGTTCCCTCCCCTTCCTGGAAGCACGAGAGTAACAATTTTAGTCACCGAATGAACAAGCTCTAACGGGTGCGAACTGAACCAATGCCGCCATGTAATTGTAGCCACCAGAGCCCACGCGGAATTCCTGGAACCGCGAATTACTACACCGCTACACGCCGGTCCGCCACCATGAAACTCACAGGTTTTGGACTCCACGTGCTCGAAATCACACGGCAATATCAGTATAGTCACGTACCGGTGGCGCGTCGGGGATACCGTCGTCAGAAAGGGTCTCTGCAGGCGGTGCGGCGGCAGCCCGGGAGCGGAGGGACACGCCACGGAGGGAGGACGGGAAGGAGAGAACCGCGGGGCTAGGGTTTGCGGTGCCGCGATGGAGGAAGAGGAGTGGGAGCGAAGAGGAGGTGGAGGTGGGGACGGCCATGGCGAGGGGAGGGAGAGGGGAAGAGGATGAGGAAGGAGCAGTAGCCGTTTGCCGCGTTGGGTTTTGGAAGACCTCTGCTTCGCTATCGCGGCGTATTATCCGCTTCGGGGGGCATTTGCGCTTGAGCCCCTCCAGCTTTGCTACTTTCAAAGTGAGGTGTCTTCTTTTCTCCAGGGCAAACTTGGACGAGTTTCATCTCCTCTAGCATTAGTTTCAAAGAAGATCATGAATGATTTGTTCAGAAAAGAAGATCATGGAATTGGATATTACTGTGACTTCAGATAAAACTATGCAAGTTACGGTGTCGATCTGCCTGGCATACACTTCATCGTTTGAAGGAAAGGAACAATCAGTAGTTACCTTCTTGCCTGGATAGACTGTCCATACGGCCATACCAGAGATCAAATAATAGGATTACAGGAACTACATTTCATTGCACGAAACATAGTGATAATAACTTAGTCAGGTAAATAATTCGGAAACACTAGTGAAATTTTACTACAGAAGCTAAAGCGTCTGGAGTGACATTTCACAGCCTCTGCACGAGGCAAAAGAAATACAGAATGACAAGAGCCATAGAGGTGGCCAAACTAACTCTACTACAGACATACATCTACAAAGCACCAAGTATTCACTTCCCTTCTCTATCCCGGCCATCACCACCATCCCCAGCACTCCTTTTCCCAATCCCCTTCAGAGCAGCTACAAGATCCAGGCCCGACTGCTGCTCGCGAAGCCTTGAATATGATGGACCAGTTGAAGGTGCCCCCTGCTTAAACTGCCACGGTAAAGGCTGCCTGTTGGGAGATGGAATCGCATTCGATTCATTCGACGATCGATCACCGAAAACTGGCTTCATTGTGATGTCTGTTCTATCAGAATCCATCGCACATGATACCTCATTAAGGTTGAACCCATGAACGCTAGTTTCCGTCTTGTCACGATCAGATTTAGGAGACGTCGAGAAAGGGGCATTTGGTGGCCGGAACACCTTGCCTAACTCATGAGCCTCAGGTTTTGTAGGTGGACGACCAAGAGCAATCGTTTTCTTGTCTTCCTCTTCTTTCACGATGACCATGTGGTCAGGCTCTGCAGGCTCAGGGCATTTTTGCTTAATACTCTCGAATATCTTATCCTGATACAGATCCTTGCCACTTGCTGAGCGCCCTGAGTAAATGTTGGTCATGGGGAAAGCTTTCTCTGGTGGTGTGGCAGGTGTATAGTCAGGGGGGAGCAAATCATCCCAATTCTCCAACAGTTCTTTGTACACTTTGCGTAGTGTGACCTCTGTGAGGCCCGTAACCTTACATATCTCTGCCTGAGTTTTGCGTTTGTCTTCAAGCTGACATGCAAGGTAGATAGCAGCAGCAGATATACTTATGGGATTCCGCCGTGTGCAGAAGCACTTATTAACAACCACCTCACCAATATGAGCTGCAAGTTCCTGAAGTGTCGACATACAACATATTAAAAATGGGTATTTATTTTCGGCGTAATGCTTCAGTAACTTTTTTCAGATCATCTGATACCTGAGCAGATTTATTCAGCTGGAGCAAGCTGCAAAATCGGGGCATATGAACAGCTATTGAGTTGCTGTTAAGTGGTTGACTCAGTTTCAGAGATTCGCCGAGTATTTTGATGTATTTTCCTATCTCTTTTTGAGGAAGATTGCTAGCAGTAGAGATTTCCTGTTCACATATAAGACAGAAGGTGAATTAAAAATTAGTGTGACATGAATAGTATACCAAGTGTCAGATATTTGCCAGGTATTTTTAAAGTTTTTCCTGCTATCTATTTCTGAGGTAGATTGTTAGAGCATCTCCAAGAGTTCCCTAAATATTACTTCTAAAAAGTCTATGTTTTCTGCAGTCTTCTTTTTTTCCACGCGAACCTCTCCGTCGCCGCGCGTATCCACGCTAGCCCGAGCACTTCATTGGCTACCTAGCATAGCAAGCATATATAGCTAGCGAGCTGCTACACATTGTGTGGCCGCGCGCGCGCGCGCTCTGTCCAATCTCGGTGCCGGTAGAGAGCCCTAGCTAGCAGCTAGCGCTGCTGCTGCTGGCCACCATGTCATCGAAGCAGGAGAAAGAGGAAGAGGTGGAGCTGCCGTGCATGAATGGTGACGTGGGGAGGGACGACGACAACAGCGGAGTCGAAGAAGGAGGAGGAGGAGGAGGAGAAGGCGAGTTCGCGGCGGCGATGGCGCAGCTGGCGCCGGAGGGCGTGCGGGCGCTGCACGAGCGGGTGGAGGCGGAGTGGGGGCCCGTGCTACAGAGCGCGTGCCAGACGGCAGCGGCGCGGATGCTGTGGGGCCGCGTCGTGCGCGACCCGGCGGCCGGGGAGCACTACCTCAGGGGCCTGCACGACAAGATGCGGCGCGACGAGCGCGCCGGCGCCAGGGAGGTGCACGGCGTCTCCGCGCGTGACTTCGTCCACGTAAAGTTACGCGGAAGGGGGAGGAATTTCCCAAGTCCTAAAAGATTAGGAGTAAATATTATGAGTTGTTGGAGAGGGTTTTTTCCTCATCTTTCTAAAAAACAAGGATTTGGAGGATGTTTAGGGAACTCTTGGAGATGCTCTTAGCATAGAGATCTCTTGGGTTTTGCCTAAGTAGCAGACAATGTCTAATCAACCAATATAGCATTAATTAAACGGAAATGCATGCTACATCAAGTGTTTGTGTAAAAAAAATCAAACATAACTGAGCTGACAAGCATTTGGTTCATTGGCTGTCAATGAAGCAATATTAAAATGGTTTGGGATGAATTCAGGTATTCGCAACAGGGTTAAAGATACCCCGATAAGTATTAGCTACAACATCAGTCTGCATACAGTGACGTAACTAACTTTTTTCCCCATCAATGTTTATGGCAAGCACAGCATATCTTTTGGAATTGAAACCATTAGCATATTTGAGTTTACTCACACAATCCCCAATTCCAAGAAATCAAATCTTGTGAAATAGCAAAATTTCTGTTTCCAAAATATAATTTTCCTATAACCAATACTAAATACGAATTGTTTGAATAAACGCATGCTTATGCTTTCGCAGCTTGGCATACCCATCTCTGCTGCACTAGAGCAATAGAACAAACACATGGCGTGCGTGTGCGAATCACAAACCAACCTGCAGCGTCCGGGGCTGCTGCGCCTCGCGGATGGCCTGTACGAGCGCGGCGGTCGCGAGCGCCTCGACGCTCCGATTCCTGAGGCAGGTCGCGGACGAGCAATCCTTGAAGAGCTCGAAAGCGTGGTCAGCTATGCCCCTGTCGAGCCTGAGTATGGAGGCGACGTCGACGATCTGGAGGTAGGCGCGGAGGCTGTCGACGGAGACCATGGGCCCGGCGGGGTCCGGGTTGGAGGCCGCGGCGGCGGAGTCGACGGCGAGCGCGCGCTCGAGCTCGGCGAGGAGGCCGGAGAAGGTGGAGGCGGAGCGGGCGAGGACGGGGTGGCGCTCGAGGGAGAAAACCGAGAAGGCGGAGACGAAGCCCGCGGGGAGGAAGGGGTCCTCGTCATCTTCGTCGCCGGGGGAGGGGGAGGGGGCGGGATCGACGGCGGTGGCGAGGTCGGGGGTGACTAGGGGAAGCGGATGGAGTGAGGGGAGGAGGGGGAAGAAGGGGTGCGTGTGGAGGTGGCGCTCGACGACGATGCGGGTGCAGGCGGAGCACTCGGACACGGCGCGCGAGAGCGGCGGCTGCGTCGTCGCGCACCGCGCCGGACCCGACGCGCGGCAGTAGGGGCACTGCGACGACATGGGGAGCGGCCGGGTGCGGATGGAGAGGCCTGGGCTTTGGGTTTGGTGGGCTCTCCAGGTTGGAGATGAGCAGAGGCCAGAGAGCCAGAGACGATGCCGGTCACCGGTCAGTCCACTACTCCACTCAGTCCCATGCTCTCCCAGTTGAAAGCAAACAGAACACGGCTAAATGTTTCCGTGTTAATTCATTTCCAACATCGTTCCTCTTTAAAGATTGAGATGTACAGTGCCGTAGTAGTAATCCAACAAAAGCAGATAAATCATTAGGAATCATAGCATAGGCAATAACAGATGAGATGGTAGGTTTCTTGTGGTTCTTTCATTGCTCATTGCTATGAGTGGAACTTTTACAGTAGGATATTGTCCCGTATGTATGTTCTATCGACAACACAGTTTTGATCTTGTTACAAGCAAACACGAAGTAGGTGTCGATGGTTATGTATAACGTTAAGTATTCCTGTACTCCAGTAAGCAGAAGCAGAAGCGAACGGGTGCATACTGCAGAGTAACTGTCCAGTAGTTCCAAGGTGTCATTTCTCCATGATCAAATGGTTTCTTTAAACCAGTATCAGCTGTCATTTCCCTGAGATGGAAAAGATTTGGAGTCAGCCAAAACGAGCAAATATTTATTCCTAATCACTAATCAGGCATAGCACATTCAGGGACATGTTGTATATCCCACACATCAACGCCGAAGATATTTAGATCTCACCAGATACACATTAGTGCCTAAGATATTTAGAGCTCACAAGATATTAAAGTGTGGGAACCACAGAAAAAGTGAGAGCAGAGCACACTCATGCCGCCAGCACATTTACAAAGCATGTGCAACCCTAGTTAGTGTAGCCTATCTGCAAAACTGATAACAAAGGACACTTCAAGGCAGAGCTAGAACTCCTATAAGAAGAAAAAATTATGACACAGGCGAAAATGTTGAAGTCAAATCATACATAAGGCTATAAAGGTTATTTCAGTGTAGTACATTGCAAATATGGAAAAGCAAGCTTACCATAATTTTGGTGTTTCTTTGAGAAGTTATATAAGGCTTTCACAATGGCACCATATTTCATTGATTTCAGTGGCCCCATATACCTGGAACAAGAAATATTAGAGATTTGTCAATTGTGGTGATATAGGACGGAATTATAATGATGATTATTTTCGCAGTTTGGAATATTGATGTTTTGATAAAGAACTTACATAATTTCAGTATACCGTAGTCTCCAGGCAGGAAATCCTAAATGGCATCTAGCAGGGCCATACATGAAAAGAAGATCAGGTTCTGGTCCACCACAACCTAATGGATGAAGTCAGGACTTAAGTGATAAAGTCATTATAGCATGATAAATAACTAAATATGAAACAAAGCATGCAGAAAAGGGTGACTTTTCCAAGCATACCTACAGCTTTCAGTGCACTAGCCATGTCAGCTTCTGTAAATGCTGGTTTCCTTTTGCCATCTCCATGAGTATCACCATTGAAGTAAGTTGAGCAAAGTAAACTGGCTGCTTTAGCAATACCCTCCTTGCCATCAGAACCAGAAAGACAGTCTATCACCATCTCTCTTTGGCTACAGTGTAGATCTTTGATGTTTGCTCCGATGCCCTATATATCGCCATGAATCATAATACAGATTTACAAACACCACCAACAAAAATGGACAAGCATGCCAGTAGAGAATATACACAAAAGTAAGACCCTAATATAAAATGGAGTAGCAGAAAGCTCAGTAGTGCAGCTTACAAAATGTTCTCCTGCAGTCCTATCTCTTGAAACATCCACAGCAGGTTCAAATGATTTCTTCAGAACTCCTATGATGAAACATAGAATAGTGTAAGATAATCTTGTATGTGCTAGATTCAGTCTACAGGTATCAAAAAAAATGTGCATCTGTCAACTAAAAACACAACAATATGACGTGTAAAGGATAACAGGAAAGTCAGTTTTGCTCTGCCCAGGTTATGGCAGCCCTGTAATGCCTCTTGAAGTCATTTGATTTCTAATGAACCATATGTATTTACAGAAAAGGAATGATCATACAGGTAGATAAGTAGTCAACAACAAACTTCAGACTGAAAACAGCCATACCCTGCAAATTCAAATGTTGAACTCATTGTCTTACCCTCGATGTCGTAGAGACATACATACTTCACACCCATAGATGAGAGCCAGCATAACAGTTGCTTGACCTTCGCCGCACTTTTAGCTTCTGTGCTATCTACCACAATAGCTAAGTACTTCAGTCTACCCAGATGAAGCTTCTGATACTTCCGCAACAATCCAGATGAAATAAGATAGCATTCTAGACTATAAATCAGATGAGACAAAAAATTTAAAAAGCTGATTGCTAAGTGGGTGATGGTCCACAGCAACCCCAAAATGAGCTTGACAATAATTGATGGTCTAGACATCTGCACATACAGAGAGAAAATACAATTGTCATGCTCTCTCACAGAATGCATTAAGGATTATAGAAATATATCCATGAGATACAAAAACGTTAGAAATATTTAGATCCTAAAACTTAATGCAATCAAGTAATTGTAATACTATGTCAATATGCAACAGTGCCGTTCTGGGGTTGCATAACAACAACTGATAATTCTGCGGTTGCCTCATCGCATCATTCATATTGCTAATGTATCTTTCACAGGCAGAATGTGCAGAGTTGTGCTCAGGAGGAACATCAACTGGTTCCGTATGCTGGATGAAGCAGATTGTCTGAAGGCAGGCAGTGCATGGGCGCTGCGATCTTTTTGGAAAAAGCCTTGGCGTAGTTATGATGTTGTCTTGAATTGTCTTTCTAGGATATCGTTGAGTAGTTTCTTCTATCTTAGTCATGGTGGTTTGTTATTCTTGCGTATGTTCCCTTTGCGATCGTATGCAGGAATAGGTTACGTCTATCAAACGTGAAACTTTGTAATGGCTTAAACCTGATGCTCTCTGTAATTTCGTTGCTTCGGTAATGAAATTCGGTTTTTACTGTTGTGGAAAAAATAAATTTCAACTCTCAATTGTTAAGCAAACACATGAAAACTGAGGATATGACTGAGCCTAAAACCTCTGTTATAAACTAACTTAGCGCAGATTCCATTATATCTCAGACTCAGGAAACAATTTCAGGGTTTTGCATTAATTAAAACAGGGTTGCTATTGTTGCCATACTTTGAAGCTTGACAGAGCTGGAAACTTCTGGATTTTCAGCTAAGGTGATCACAAATGTCAAATAAACTTTCAGCAAAGGTTATAAGAATAGAAACCTTATCAAGAAAGTGCACTTAAAATAAAAGAAAGCCATGGGTTAAGAAGTGTATATTATTTCTTCTATGATGTTCCTTCCACCGACTAGATTGAAGTCTCTCCTAAAATCAGTCTTATACCTATACTATAAATAAGAGGCAAAAGGTGCAAGAATAGCAGAAAAGGAGACCAGTTCATCAGCATACATACATGTGGAGGGGGCTGATTCATGAAGACGGAGGCCTGACTTGCCACAAATGCTTCCCTGAACAAGAGCAATGAGAGAATTATTCTGAAGAAAAGGGGAAAATGGAGGCAGGGCGCATCATACACAAATATATGAAGGTCAAAATTATTGCAAATTGTACTGAAACCTTTCCTTTCACCTGTCTACTTGCTTTCTCAACAAGAGATCAAATCAACACTAACACAAACAAACAAGAGAGGCCAGCAAACAGCACAGAGAAACAAAACAGAAAGTGAGACAGGCAAGAGAACTAACATGGGTTTGGAATCCATGGCAGTCGCAGCTGAGCTCAGGAGGTTGAGGAAGAAACAACGGAAGCAACAAGAACCAGGTGCGTGTGACTGTCAAATTAGAGAAACTGTAGTAGTCACAGAAAGATCCATAAGCTGGTCCCTCATATCACATCGACGTGTACCGGTTGTCCTGTTGAGGTGTTGACATCCTTTGTTTGTTTTCAGGGCTTCACATGATTCCCCTCTCCCTTTCGCTTTCTACGTTAAATTTCTCCACTTATTTTTCTTCTTTCTTCCTAAAATGGTTTAGCTTTTTTTTTTTTTTGAGAAAGCTAAAATGGTTTAGCTATTTAAGGCTCGCAATGACGTGGCCGCAGCAGGTGTAGAATAAATTACATAACGACACCAAACACGTGGATTAGGTCAAAAAAAATATTGTACATTCAAGGACGATTAGCGGATTAGGCGACACATCGACCCCGTTCGTTGATTGGTTTAAATCCAGCCGGTACTGATTCCTTCTGAGAAAAACACTAAGGCCTCGTTCGTTTACGGCATTACAAGGCCAGGAATCAACTCCCCTAGTGAAACCTTATATAAATTAAAGTTATCAATCCAGGAAGCTTCCTGCTCCGCCGGTGAAAAACGTAAAGAAACCAACGGGCGCCGCAAAAATAAAGAAGGCAAAGTAGTGCAGGAGAGGTGGCCGACTCACTGTAGCCTGAGAGGACCGAATGGAAATTCAAATGCCACATGCACATTTCCACAAACACTTGGCAGAGGAAATTCAAATGCTACAAGCACATTTCCACAAATACTTGCATGCGACCTGCGTTCACGCGGAGAGCCCAGGCACGGCCAAGCCTGCCGGTAAAGCAACTTTTTACGGAGAAAAAAGGGGAGGAACGCGCGAGCGCGAGTGAGCGAGTTAAACCTGCAGGCAAGCGACGCGCGGTGCCACGCGCCGCGCTTCCCCCGAGCCCGGCGGCGTCACGGCAGCATCTGAGCCGGGCGTGGAGGCGGATGCTACGGCCTTTTCCCTTATGCAAGGCAGAATTTGGGGGAGGAGTTGCTACTGGAGAGAGTAGCCGCGATCTGAACTCCCCGACTCGAAGTCGAAAGCCAATGCCCGTGAGCCTTGAGTCAATGAGTCGGTCGTCGACAGGCCGGGAGGCGCCGTGGTGAAATCGCAAACCAAGATGCGAGATCGTGCCCGTGCCCGTGCCCGACTGCCAACAGCCCCGCACGTCAATGTCTCCGGCTCACCACGGCCTTAGCTACGATAGCGAGGAGCGCCACGTGCGGCGCATGACGACCTCACGAGATCTGGGGTCTGGGCGAGAGGGGGGGCGTCGCCGCCGCCGCCTGCGTGGGTTCTGGGCTGCGCACAAGTGGGACTGGGCGAGTTGGTGTCAAGGCCTCAAGGGTTAGCACTTGGCAACCGTTGGGTTTCGGATGCTTCTGTTGGGCTAGATGTTGTTAGGCCGCTGATTCCCTGGATCGCGAGCTAAATTCACTTGACATTCGTTATAATGTTTTGGGATGTTTTTCAGAAATTTCTAAATATTTTTTATAGTTTCCTAGGCTAAATCTGTTTTCTTGAAAGTGTTAAATGTATTTTCAGGAGCTCTAAATATTTTTATTTTTATTTATAGTGTCCCGACCTATTTCTGGGATTTTTTTTCTTATTACAAACGTTAAAAGCTTATAGATTTTTTTGCAGTTTAAAAGACTTACCCGGTTTTTAGCGAGAATTTAGTTAAAAGTAACAAAACTACCTTGAAAACTAGATCTAACCAGAGATAGAGCAATAAGGTAATTTAAACAATTTTACGAGTTGAGAGAGATAGTTCTAAAGTTCGAGAAGCAAACCTGAACAACGATGATACTTCCTTTCTTCCAAAATTGGTGAGCGTATTTAACAAGATATAGTTTCTCTTATAATATGTTAGTGAATTGCTAAAAAGTCAATATCATCTCATGGACATTTTGGACACATATTTATTTATATGTTTTATGCTCTAAAGTTGTAATATAATTTGACAAATGTTGGTCAGATTTTATAAAATTTAAATTTTTATCTAGTCATACACAATTATTATTGGGCGACAAAGAGGCAAACGGACGTTTTTCTTTTATTATTAGAGAGCTTGTGCCTGGTGGGCCGAAGAAGAAAACCGCAACATGGGCTTGGGCTAGTGTGGGCTAAATTATGTGTCCAACGCCCCCAACCTGTCAGCTACAGGACTACAGCTGCTACAGGTCTAATATTCGGGTGCAGGTCCGTGGACAGCATTATTCGTGTACTGGTCGCCGACGATTTGGCGGCAGTTTTTGAATAATGGAGAATCCTTCCATGTTAAAAAAAAAAACCCAAAAGAACCTGAAAAAAAAAACAGACGCTTCAAACTTCAGAGCCATGGCGCCACCTTGCCGCAATATGTTATATGAGAGAGGTAGAATCCGATCTGAAATTCGGCATTCTGCTAGCACACTTTCCGGGTGTAAGTGGTGTCAAATAGAGGCACTGTTGTTGTCAATTGTCAAGGCGTCAGGGGCTTTGATTTCTTCAGCCCAGTAGCTGTAGTGCTCCAGCTAGCACACGAGCGTATATGCTCGTCGTGGTCACGATTTCTTTCGTGTTTGCCGCCGTACCATTAGTTTCGCATTTTTTTAGTGGGCCTGGAATTTATCCCAATAATGGTATGGAGATATTGCTGGATTAGATATTCCTGCCTCAGATTACAGTATCACGTGCCCCCACCATAAGAGTCTCTTACCCTATTGATTTCACCTCGAAATAGGTGTATGCTAGTTTTGATGATGTGGTTCTGCACTTTAGGATACCAAGTTGTATAAAAACCGCAGTTTGAGTTTTACAGAATATATACTGCGTTTTGCGTTGCGCCTCTTCGGCTGTAGAATGGTCAGAATACATGTTTTATATCGAGCGTACTTGTCTCAGTCATGGCCCTACTATCAAAAAAAAAAAAGCAGTATGTGTTCTAAGAGTTTGTTTGGAAATGTTACAATCCTCTTAATTCCATACGTATTGAAAGACATTAAGACAGAAAATCAGTTCATTTTTCACTCTAATCTGCATGGATTGAGCGTGATTGAATTTATCCAGACAATGCTTAAGTGGACAAAGTAGTAGAATGGTTACAACATGAACACATATGCAGTGTGCAGGAAGTGGTGAGCACGTCAGTTTTCATGACAAACACATATCTAAAGTTAAGGTTTCAACCAATCCTATATGTCAAACATATATACACATGGAGTCTCTTAATTTTTTTTTTTTTGACAACAAACCATTTTATTTCAGCAGCGAGAAGCTGATAAGATTGTTACAGAATCAATGGCTACTGATCTGAGAGCAGCCAACAGAGGACATGGAGATACATGAGTACTATTTGAACAGGAGGAAGAGAAATTCAGAGTAGAGGACTCTGATTCTACAACAGCCTGTCTAGCTAATGTGTCTGCAGTTTGGTTTTGGTTTATCGGAATCTTGTAAATCCTTGTACTTGTTTGCTTCGTGTGGTTGATGAAGGATTGAATGAGATGCTTTATTCTCCAGTCCGGGGGGGTTTGAACCGTCTGATCCATTGAAGAATTGGACCAGTTGTTGATTATCTGATAAGAAGTTGGTTTGGTGTAGATTGAGTGTTTCACAACTGTAGCAGCCATCGCTAGAGCAGCAGCCTCAGCCATGATAACTGAGGATGAGTCTGACATTGTGGCCTTGATGTAGATCTGCTCCGGCGGATGAACCTGCATATTCAAAATAAAATTCCAATCCCAGCTCTCGTGCAGGAGTCTCTTAAAAGTTAAAATTACCCTCTCTCGTGCAGGAGACTAGTCAGCCTCGCAGGTTTTAGCACGAGATATTTTTCTCAGCCTGTTAACTCGTCGAGCGTGACAGACAGCTTCAACGCAAGACGTACCGTTCCATTGGAGACCACAACACTATCACGCCGTCCACCAGATCTGAGGAACAGCACCGAGTTGGAATGCGGCCATTCTGCGCACGGTTCCAAAGTCCTCACACCGACGACGACACATCTCGGCCTGTCGCCTGCACCAGCGGGGGACACCGGACGGACACCCCTATATATGATATATGAAAGCGGCGCTGAAAGAGAACAAAAGGCTCAGATGGCTGCGTTTCCTAGCAGCCGTGTACAGGGCGAATAATGAACGGGGTGACGATACGCGTAATGGCACATCGAGAGGACAGATCTTAACCTGTTCATCTGCAGTCTTAAGTTCACATGAGACTTTTAGAGACCTCACCTGCCACTAAATTCAGTACCCTGATATGATGAGAATGCAATTCACCTGCCACTAAATTCAGTACCCTGATATGATGAGAATGCAATTCACCTGCCACTAAATTCATTAAATGCACATCTGCAACCCAAGCGTGAAATGCACACGCATCACGTAACGCACGACTGACCTCCTCCCTGTCCCTTCCCTTCCCTACCGGCAGCACAGGAACACGACTACGACAAGCTGATCTGACGGCATTCCAGGCACGGGTAGAGCAAAGGCATTGTGTGCACGCGTGCGCATCGCATCGCACGCACGCAGTACGGCGGGGTTAGGCGCAATGATACGATATGAGGATGAGAGTGAGATGATGGGGAAGCTCAGCTAGTGCAGGAGCCACTCTCGGTTTGGCGATCCCTCTCGCCGCGGACTTTCTTGCCGGCCGCCCTCCACGGCTCCAACCAGAGCGGAATCCCAGGTCCCAGCCCAAGACAGCAGCCGGATGATGATGGATGCATCCACGCAATTGGATTGGATGGGCGGTTCAGTCCCTTTTGTATTCTGTTGAATCCACACGCACGCGGTGTGGCCTCTGCTTATCCCTAATCAGCATCAGGCTTCTTCTTTTCTGTCTTTGTGTGTGTGGGTGGGTGGGTGGGGGTGGGGGGAAGGAAACGAGCCGGCTTTTAGGCTCGTTGGCTTTCCACGGCTGCATACTAAGAAGCCCGCGTGATCTGATTCCGATAGCTCTTAAACGATCC